TGACAGCTCCCAAACCCCGGGAATTTGGATCCAAAATGCCAGGAATTCAATCCCAAACCCCAGGAATTCGATCCCAAACCCCAGGAATTCCACCCCAAACCCCAGGAATTCGATCCCAAACCCCAGGAATTCGATCCCAAACCCCAGGAATTTGATCCCAAACCCCAGGAATCCCACCCCAAACCCTGGGAATTCCACCCCAAACCCCAGGAATTCCACCCCAAACCTTGGGAATTCGATCCCAAACCCCAGGAATCCCACCCCAAATCCCAAATCCCGCCGTCCCACCTGGTTTGTCCCGTGCCAGCTGCCGGTCCAGCGCCAGCGCCGTTTTCTCCTCCTGGATGAAGATGCGGTCGATCATCACCATCTCCGCCGAGGGGCTCGCCCGCTGCCGGACACACAGACACGGACATGGGGACATGGGATGGATGTGTGGACATGGGATGGACACACAGACACATGGACACAGATATGAACACACAGATATGGACACACGGACACACGGACATGCCACGGTCACCGGGAATGCCGGGATCACCGTGATCCAGGGGCATTCCCAGGATTCAGGGACATTCCCAGGGTTCGGGGACATTCCCAGGATTCAGGACAATTCCCGGGATCCGGGGCTCACCCGCGACTCCTCGAGCAGCAGCAGCCGGTATTTGTTGAGCATCGCCCGCGTGCGGCGCAGGAGCTGCTCCGACACCGCCTCAAACTCCTCATCCACTGGAACGGGAACGGGGACCCCAAAAATGGGAATGGGAATGGGAATGGGGACGGGGATGGGGAACCCAAAAATGGGAATGGGAATGGGAATGGAGACCCCAAAAATGGGAATGGGAATGGGAATGGGAACGGGAATGGGAATGGGAATGGGGAATGGGAACGGGAATGGGAATGGAGACCCCAACAATGGGAATGGGAATGGGAATGGGGATGGGGATGGGGATGGGAACGGGAACGGGGATGGAACGGGAATGGGGATGGAATGGGGATGGGGAAGAGACAAAGGGGAAAGGGCAGACGGAGGAAGGGATGGAGAGAGAAGCAGAAAACGAGGGAGGGAAGGGAAAGAAAAGGAAAGGGTGGGCACCGTTATCCCGACATTCCTCCTGCTTGTGTTCTCCCGGCATTCCCTGCCCTGTTATACTGTTACCCATTATCCCAGCCCCGTTATCCCAGCCCCGTTATCCCATCATTCCCGTTATCCCAACATTCCCATTATCCCAAATTCCCAATCCTCACCCCTCTGGCACTCTCTCTGGGCCGGCAGCATGCCCTGGTACACGTGGTAGGGCAGCAGCCGCCGCAG